ATATTGATTTATTATATTATAATTTTTTCTATATTGAATAAATGGGTATAAATATAGTTTAAAAGATGTATTTTTAATTTAATGTTGAATTATTTTTTACTAATAATAATAAGATTTAAAAATTCAGAGAAAAATACTTATGAAAAATAATTATAAAAAAGTAAATAAATTAGAAATGTTATGTCATTCATATTTAATGATGCTGATCGTAAAGAATTTAGTGAAAATATTTTTAAATTGTAAAAACTTAATTAAAATATTTTAAACTATGAAGACTTAATTAAAAATATAAAAAAACCTATATGGACGGAATAGATTGTAACAAATAATAATTAATAATCTTATTTATAATAGTGAATAAGTCACAAATTATCACTTTAGTTTTATTAATAATAACCAAAAATATGAATGTAACAAATAATTCATCATTGATAACAAAACCTCTAGAAACATTTCCATCATTCTGAAGAATGTTTTGCTCTAAATTATTCTCCCTCGGCTAATATTGTAACTTGCTTGAGTATTGGAATATTTCGCATAAATAGTTTTTATCTTTATAATTTACAAAGTCTTAGTTTCAGTTCTGTCACATGTTTTTTTTATACTTAATAGTTTTCATTTTTTTCAGAGTTGATGCTGTTAACATTATATAATTTTTTAATTACTTAACAAATAAAAATTAACAAGTATTAAGATAATTTTAGTTGGTATAACTTTTTATCTGACAAAAAAAATATTAGTATAAATTTGAAAGTTCATACTTACAAATAATAATACATTATATTAATATTTGATGTACTGGTAGTGTATATTAACAATTTTAATAATAATAAAATTATTTGTTGATATAATATACCTGATTATTGGTATAAATCTATAGTGTCTATATTAATAGTTTATTTTTCATTGAAAAGACTTATATTAACCATAGTTAATTTAACAATAAATCGTTAGTAAATTGTGCTTTTTAGTGTAATCCCTTGTTTTGCTATTCCTAAATAATATTACTTTCAATTTTATTTATGAGAAACAAACATCTAATACATCAAAATTAATAAAAAGTAGTTATATGTTATAAATTTATTTTCTATTTCAAAAATATTAATGATATTAATTAGTATCTTATATATTAAATGAATGAATATATTCATTTATGCAAGTAAATAGTGTATTTTGCTAATACAGATCTCAAAATAAATAAATTATAAAAAATTTAATAATTAATAAATTGAAAAATGAATCTTTATGCTTTATATTTTGAACCAAAAAAATATTATTACTTCTTATATACAAGGCTAGAAGTAATAATATGACTAATTAAAATGATCATGCGTCACTTATTTGTGTATCTGAAAGAAATTAAAATACTTAAAATTGTAAAAGTATAAAAACTAAAGCCATAAAAAAATTAAAAATAGTAAAGTAAAAAAACTCAAAAAAATATAACCATAAAAAAATATATTAATCTATGATTTTACAAGCTCAGGCTCATCCAAGCGGAAGATTATAGAAACTTGTTTCAAGCCAGTAGCAAACAGCCATTAATTGTCCGCCCCAAAACAACACTGGGAAGTGTCCAACTACACACACACATAGTAAAAAGCTGCACCCAAAAACGGAAAAACATACTTTTGGTAGAGATCAATCAATGTACGAAAGTGCTATTAAAAGAAATCAGCGTACGGAAGTTGACATTTGACATATTCATATACAAATTTGTGGCTTGCTAAACCATTTAATTGCTATAACCCACCGAGTCCTCACGGTAAGGCTGTATTAAACCAAAACAGACCATTAATTAATATTTTTGAGAAACAAAAGATTTTTTTTATTACAGTGATGAGTGCAACACATACTCAAGTCCGTACATAAAGATCAAGCTCCTTTTTCTTTCTCTTTCTTTTTTCAAGCTAAGAAATATATAAATAAAAGTGATTTCAACAGGAATTAAATCAAGTTCTTTGCACCCACTTACTGCAACAAAGCCTCCTCTAATGTACCATACCAAATTAATACTTGAGCTGTGAACCTGTAGTACTTAACTATCACAGCCAGCCAGCACTACTTACAATGAAAGGATCACAGAATCCTATATATAAAAAGCCTATTGTAATAATTGATTGCTCTTAACAGCAAGTTAATTAATGTCATGCATTTTCTCAGAATACAAACCTAATTTATCCATTGTTGCAGACACAGATCTTTTTATATCGTACGTTTATACTTTAGAGCCAACTCGGAAGATGCAATGTAACTTTTGTGTGGAGAACGGAGAGTGATTAACCCAATATAACTGTTAAGTTATTTGAAAGAGAATATATCACTTACCCCAAAAGGAAAAAAATCTGAGGGCACAGTGGCGTCCATGGGGTGCATAAATTACAAATTGATACTATATAATATATATCCAATTTTACCATATATGCAAGTCACTAATTCACACATTACGAATGAAAATAAGTTAATGAAAATTATTTTATAAGTTACTTGGCACCTTTTGCAAATACTATATATCCTTTATTTTTGTCCTTTTTTGTCTTGTAATATACTATATATATGTATATGTCAATTATTATTATATTATTTTAACTTTTAGTAAAAGAAATTTATTAGGTGAACAACTAGGTTATTTCTAAAACAAAGGCGAAGCGCATACTACACCAAATGGATGCTTACTTTTTTTAGAAATAATGTTTTTTTATCGATCAATGGCGTTTAGTTATTTTATTAACAGTTTTCTTTTATGTGTATCTAAAGAAATGTGTTAAAAATATTTAAAACAGTATGTTTTTATTAAAATAAAATATTTATTACTATCAGTACATTAAATTTTTTAAGTGTGTTGTGTGTCCTTAACACAAATTAAAATAATTATTTTACTAAATATACACATAACTTATGAAAAAAAGAGACAGAAACATCAGGAGGATATACAATGGGGGCTCGATGTGAAATAATTATTGTGTTAAAACATTTCCATCAATTTGATACAGGGGCGAGGTGTATACTTGTAATTAGATCTCAATTACTAATGAAAATCATGAAGTTGTTTGACATAGTGCATACGTAATTAAGAGAACTTCAAAAAATTAATTTTCAAAATAAAAACATAGATTGGGTGGATGATTAGAATCAAGCAATAAAGTAGGGGAACCTTCAAGATATAGGAATTCTAAAATCAGCTTTAAGGAACGAATCCAAGAACAAATACAGAATAGTTTGTACATTTTTCCCTCAAAATTATAAAAGAAACATATAATTTATAGCCTCAATTGGAAATAAGAGACCAACCTAAATGTTTAATACAAGAAAATGAAAGAGACAATATTAATTGGTTATGATCATTGTTCGTTTAATTAATTTGAATTCAATAGAATATATTTTTAGTTCTTATTAATACGATTATTTTTTAGTTTTGTTTTACAATTTTTGTTCTTACAAATTTAATAATTTTAAAATAAATTTTATTACTACTTAAAATGCTTATTGACATGACACAATTAAATATATAGCATGTTATTATCATTAAAATATATAAAAATTAAAATTAACTAAATTTTTTGAAAAAAGAATAAAAAAATCATTTATTTGAATTTATATAAAAAAACTATTTATACAGAAGTCAACATTAATCTAAGTAAAAATAAATAAAGAGTTTAAATTCAGGATCAATTAAGGACATAAATTGAAAATTTGGAATCCACAAAAAATTGAGCTATATCAAAGTTTAAAGTAGGATGGATACGAAGTTATATATAGTAAATTTTTATTGAAAATTACAATATTTAGTAGTGTTAATGTATTTAATTATATTAAATTTTATATTTTTACTAAAAAATATTATATATAACTTCTTATTATTTACAATGTTGTAGAGCTTTAAAAAAAGTAAATTTCTGCAATACGCGAGGTTTTGTAGTTTGGCTATCAATACTGAATCAGAACTTATTTTAAAATATGCACATATTTTGAGAATTTTTATTCTCTCGCTGGAAAAAAATTTCTTTCGGTGGTAAAAATTGAGATAGTAAATAAAACACTACGTGAGAGTAAGGTAGCTGCGTGTGTGTCTCAACAGGTGATATGAACATTTCTATGAACATACAATTCAATGACTTCTCTACCATTTATAAAGCCAATTATAAATTTATAAGTTTGATGATATATGTTTTGAGGATATTGATTATACAATTTAAAAAGTATCCAAATTAAATGCAAAATATAAATATAATTTTCATATTTCTTAATTAGTACTTTAAATGACACTAGCTTGCTAGCAAACACTTTTTATATATAACAGAGACATGTAAGAAAATCGTATAATAGTTAAAATGAATTGAAAATGGCATATTTGTAATTTCTTGTAAACAAGAGGAGTGAACAGTGAAGATAATATTACTGCATTTAATTATGTCTTAGCTAGAAAGAAGATCTCCGGAAAATGTATGCGCAGGCAGACATGTATGTACTGAGACAATTCTGAAACGGAAAATGACACTCCACTATAACCTTGATCAGTGTCTCCCTCAAACCCTAATCTTTCTTCTATATATTAATAATTATTGGTAATTTCTTTTTAAAACTAATGCCAACTTACATTTTCCTTTTCATTGAATTTACACATGTGCTGCCTTCTCCTTTCTCTCCTTTATTATCCCCTCCCACCAAATTGCTCTTCCAAGTGCACCTTTCGCAAAACAGCCACATACTGATAATTTCAATCAAACCAAGAAATTAAATTAAAAAAATGAAAAACAGAAAGAAAAAAGTAGTACCCACACAAAGAGTCCATCATCAGCTTCAGCTATTTTATGAGAGTTGGACATCTTTCAATTTCAAACATCAATAAATTACAATACTCTCGATCATCAATCTCTCCATCAAGCTGCAGAAGAGAGCAAAGCACAATAGTTCTCTTTGGAAGTTTGGACTTAATTTGATCTTCCTCATGGCGATTCACAAATTAATAAATAAACAAAAGAAAAATCACGATTCTTATATCATGTTGGTGTTGATCTACTTCCCAAGCGTAGCTCTAGATCAAGCTCCTCGTGGTTGGTGGAAGAGGTTGTGGGTTGTTGTTCTTCCACTTTGCTAGAGCTGAGGGAATACGAGGAAAACCCATTGATCCCTGAAGCACGAGCCACAGGGAAGTCAAAGGAATTAGGAGAACAAGTTGGCACCACCATCATCAAGTTATTTGGAGGGTAAGAAGAGACGGAGAGAAGAGGGGAGGGTGATTCACCGCATGCATTATTGAAGCCAGTTCTGTGGCCAAGAGTGGAGAAAGGAGCACCACTATTAGGGCTTGGCAAGTGGTAGAGGAGGCACAACCCAGCATTTGCAACAAGGTCTTGAGAGAGAGAAGAAGTGGGGTTGTTGGGTGAAGCTTGGTGATGGTGGTGGCTGTGGTGGTGGTGGAGGCGAGCACGGTCACGGCGATGAACGTTCATGTGGCCACCAAGAGCTTGAGCAGAGCGAAACTCTCTTCTACAGAAGGTGCAGGAGTAAGACCTTGGGGGCCAAGTGGTGGCCATGATGTTTCTTGTGTCTTCTGCAAAGGCTCTTACTTCCCAAGAGTCATCTTCTTGATCTTGATTTTGTTCCCTTGGATTCCACATGCCGGTGGGACTAGTGGAGTTAGGGTTTGGTTGATTTTGATGGTGTTGGGATTGTGACAAATTTTGGATCTGGGTCATGGAGAGAAGGCCAATCCCTGCGGCCATGGTACTGAAACTGACATTTAAGATAGATGGATATGTGATGGGAGAGTTGATGGATGTGGAAACAATTTGGAGGATAAATATAATTTGGTTAAATAGGGGATGTGGGTTATCATTAGTGAGGAGACAAAATGAAGCCCTAAACCCCCCAATCGAATGTATCACCCATGTTTTGACAGTGAGTATTTGGATCATAGTCAGATTCACATTATAATAATGTTAGTAATAACTTTATTCTTATCCCTCACAAGCTCTTTACCAGGTCTGTTGTAGACAATTTCCTTGCTTTGGCTTCTACGCCTTCAAAATATCTGTGGAGCTCCACTTACTTTTTTGGCTTCCCTGCCCGAATAAATCCCCCAGTAAATTATTTCTAATCTTAAACATAATTTCTCAAATATTTATTATGACATTTTAAATAATTTTTTTATTTATTTTATATTATTTAATATTTTTATACACTGCACAAAAATTATTAATTAAATATATATTGTATGACTATTTTAAATTTTAATCAATTTCAAAAGAAATAATATTATGATTATTTTTTACAATATTTTTAATAATTTTTTTGTAATTTAATTTTTATATTATTTATTTTTAGAAAAGTACTCTTGATAAAAATTAATTAACTAAAAAGAGACTAAGATAATGAATCTCAATAATCTTGAGGGGTAATTTTAAAAGATTATTCAAATTTTTGATAAATTTAATATTATTACTAAAATTAATTATATCTTTAAAATTTCGTGAAATAGTTTAAAAAAATTATATTTAGAATCAAAGGTAATACATTGTTATACTAACATTTACCGGTTTATATTCAGATTAGCAAATTTTCAATGTGGTAAAGGGTACACAAAAGAATTTAATATACTAAATTTTTATTAAAAACCATAAAATTAATATATAAACAATATTAATCATACATTTTTATTTTATATTGATAAAAATTTATATATAATACATTTTTATTAAAAGTATCTAATCTAATACCTCAATAATATTAAATGCTATATATTTTATAAAAATGTTATTTATTATATGTCCTTAAACATACATTAAAAAATTATATATTTTTATGCAAATAAAAATGTTATTTCGCCACATAGTCGTATTTATTTACATTTAATACAAGTTGGCGCGTTTTTTACACTAACATGTTTAACTAAATAAATGATGTTAGTAGAATCATCAATATTACGTAAATATAGCACTGTTTGTTTGACAAGAATTAAATTATTAATATAAATGTTTGTAAGTCTACTCAAATTATTATGATGTATCATATTTAGTAGATAATTTTGTTAATAAAACATTAATATATATTATTAGTGGATTACTATATTATAATATTGGTATAAATATATTATACAATTAATATAAAGTTATACCGTAAGTTTGCTCAAACAAATAAAAATAATATTAAGGGCTAATATTATATACCGTAATGTATAACATTTTGTTGTAGTGTTTATTCTGTATAAGTCAAATAGCATAACTGTTCAAACTACTCCATAAAAAATTTTAGATGGCGAAAAAGGCTCTTGTTTTGAGTATAAATAATATGAAAATTGAAAAAAAAAATTCATACTTTATGATGATCTTAAAAAAATCTTAAATTCAATCACAAGAAACTACAATGCTACATGCAGGCTGCAGCTGAAGGCATTGCGAGTACAGTAGTCATTCCTGACAGCCTTAAAATTATAAGTTTCACGTAAAGTGTCTCAAGCATCTTAAATAACGATTAATTAAGAAGTAATTAAATTTCATATTAAATATTTTAATAATTAAAAAAGTTATTTTTTTTTAAATTTTAAGCAAAATGAATGTTTTAATTTTATTTAATATTTAATATTTTTATATTATCCATTACTCCAAAGATATATACTAACAAATTGAATTTTCTAACATTTTCTAAGGGATAACGACGGGTATTCAATTAGGATCCTTTAAATATATATAACTTGAATGCAGATATATAGTAGTACTACAATTAATGAAAGATAACCCCATAAAGAAACATTTCAGTGAAGGCATAAATTTCTTCGCCTACGAAAAGACCAAGAAACACCCATATTACATTCTCCTATCATTGTTTGTGTCGTCCCACTTGTCCAAACCACCTTGTACCAAACACGGGGCTCTTAATTGCAATTGATTAATCCTTCACTTCCAACAGTCAAACATGATAAGGCTATGTCGTAATTAAACTATTGGTTTTTTTAATAAATGTGCAAAGACACCTTATAAAAACTTATCGTGTAATAGTATTGAAATATGTTAATTTTAATTTAAAAAATAGTTTTTAATTTTAAAATTAAATATAATGAATTTGAGTTAAATATTTAGAGCAAATTTTGCAGTCTGTAATAATTCTATCATACTCGAATATAATTGTCTCCCGTTAAAAGTATGTATGATATATATATATATATATATATATATATATATATATATATATAATTCTTATTTATGAAATAAATATAAAATTTAATGTATTAATAGTTTTTCAAAGACTTGTTTGTTTAAAAGTTAAAAACAAATTCTCAAAATTTTTAATAAAAAAACAAACATTCTAATAAAAGAAGTACGTGTTTGAAATTAATTTCTACACATATTTCAACTATATTTAATAATTTAATATTTATTTTATTAAAATTAATCCTATTCAAGTTTAAATTTTAAAAACCTTATTCATTCCATTCCGAGTCCCCAATTTTTATTTAAAAAAAAAAAACCTTCTTTAGTAAACACTTAACCGAACACTTAACTTCTATCATTATCTCAAGTCTGTGAGCAATGAGGTTTTGTACTGGAGTAGTGTTATACAAATTTTAACACATTTATTTTAACATTTTAAAATTTTTAATTAAAATTTATAAAACTGAGAGACTTGATAAATTAAAAGTTAAAAATTTGTAAATGTTATGATTTTTCAACAAATGTAATTAATTTTTTTGCTATATAAATTTTATTAATTTTATCAATACTATTTGTAATGTTAAATATAAGACATTTTTATAAAAAATTGTCATAATATTTTTATATATTTCTTAAATTAATTTTTTATAAAAATATTCTTTAATGTAGATAAAATAATTAAATGAATAAATAAAAAGTAAAATAATAAATTTTAATAATTTTAAGAATTATTTTATATATTTAAATCATTAATAAATTTAATACTATTAATAAAATTAATTTTATCTTAATTTGTTTATAAAATAATTAAAATTTTATTATATTTAAGTTTTATATATATATATAAATTTATTTATTTAGTGTTATATGGTTATATCGTTAAGCTGAAAATATAAGTCCTTAATAAACTTGTTGTCTATGGTATAGTATAGTATTTACCTAATATATAGAATTGTGAAATATCTAAAAGATGATGTATATTAATTTTCTTTAAAAAAAACTTAAATTAGTATTTTTAAGTTAGCGATTTAAAAAATTTATGATAAAATATTAATAAATTATTTTTTATTTGTATTTTTTTTTTAAAAATTAACTATTCAAGAATAACATTCAAAACTTAACCAGTTGTTCTGTAAATTTTAACTACATATATATATATATATATATATATATATATATATATTCTGTAAATTTTAACTACATATACATATATATATATATATATATATATATATATATATATATATATATATAAATCTAGAATATAAATTCAAAACTTTTATCTTAATTGCATGATATTGTATTCATAACTCTAGTACCTAATAGACATTTATTGATATTTAAAAAGTATATTATACATTCAAATAAAATTAATTAAGAAAGTATTAACTAGTTTTAAATCATATAAAAGTTTAATTGTTTTGTTCTACTTAATGAGTTGGAATCCTCAATTCAACGATTAAATTAATGAAAATTAATATGCTTAAACAAATACTAAACAAACTAAATTTGATAACACTTATTCAAAAATTAATTAATTAATTCCATATAATTAGTTAGTCAATACATTTTTCTGGAGTAAGTATTATTTGGCATAATTCGTAATTGGCTGTGTGTGTATCTGGGATTAGGATTGGGGAAAGCGAGTAAAAAAAAATTATATATATATATATATATATATATATATATATATATATATATATATATATATTAGCAAATTGAAAGAAAACAAATATGAACGAAATATACTGTCTCAAAACAAATAAAAAGAATTACATTATGCATGGAGAAGCCAGCAATGAAGTTACAGTTTCCCATTTTTTCTCGAGCATTTCTTTGGAATGCTTTATATTACATGAAATAAGATACATACCAAATAAGAATTACATAAATGATTAAGTAATACATAAAACTTAATTTGTATACTCAATTTAGTAATAATAAATAAATAGCCTTTTAAACAATTTGATCTCACTCTACTTTCTCCCAAAAAATAAAAGAGTGCATTTTTATTTCTGAAGATGATAAACCTGACATGACTTGAGGGCTTTCAGTACAACAAAGATAATCTATCAACATCATTTTAATTTGCGCAATAGGGGACCACTAAAGTCTGGCAAAGAGAGATAGTCACAACTCACAACGCACTAAATACAAAGAACTAAAATGGTTGCTGGTTTCGTTAGTCAGAAATGTTACTACTAAGGCTAGGCCCTTAAATATTAAAGAGGAATGTCAAAGAATGTACCTACACTTTTGTAACATATTTTTAGGTATTAATTAAAATTTACTATAAATTAAAGAAAAAAACATTAAATTAGGCATGAAAAAGAGTGACATCTATATGATTTTTGTTATTTTAAAGAAAAATCAATAATTAATAGTATGTTAGCCAATGTGTTATTCGTAATTTTATAATTTAAAAAAAAATCTTAACACTAATTCATTCTGTTTTACTTTAATCTCACAGTCTTTTTACCAATCCAAATTTATAGCACAAGGATAGCGAGCCATTTTTCTTAATTACTTTTTTAAATTTTATCAATGAATATATTCTCGTATGGTAAGGCCCTGGT